GCGCACATGCGCACACGCGCGCACGCCACGCCACGCCACACCACGCCACGCCACGCTGCGCCACCGCACGCACGCACGCAAGCATGCACGCACACACCACGCATGCACGCACGCACGCCACTGCACGCACGCACGCACGCACTCGCTCACTCACGCACGCGCGCTCACGCACGCACGCACCCTCACGCACGCACGCTCGCGCACGCATGCTTATGCACGCTCATGCATGCCCGCCCGCCCGCCCGCCCGCACGCACGCGCGCGCTTTTGCCCGCACGCACGCAGGCACGCGCACGCGAGCACGCGCGCACGCGCGCACACGCGCACGCTCGCTCGCTCGCTCGCTCGCTCGCACGCACGCACGCACGCATGCGCGCACGCATGCGCACGAAAAGCACACTCACACGCACACGCACACGCACGCGCGCGCGCACGAAAAGCACACTCACACGCACACGCACACGCACACGCGCGCACTCACGCACGCGTACGCGTATGCGCACGCGCACGCGCACACGCGCACGCGCACGCACACGCACACGGACACGCACACGTACATGCACACGCACCACACACGCACGCGCGCACACGCACGTACGCACGTACGCACGCACGCACGCATGCGCGCGCACATACACGTACACACTCACACACCTTCGGAAAAATAAAAAGTCGAGGTATTGGTGTGTTGGGGGCATGATGAGAGCAGTTTTATTGCCAGACCAGGATCTCTAAACTGGAAACACCCGTCTACTAGTTTGCCAGGATTAAAATTCCAGGGTTCCTGTTGCCTGGGTTCGAGGATTGTGGAGTTCCTGAACTGTGTTTTAAGTCGCCCGCACTGACTCAGGCGCAACGCAGATGTCAAAGTCGTCGCTCGGCAGCTGAAGGTGTGCAGTGTGCAGAGTTTGTGCTGAAATTCACGACAGCTGGCCCACACCCTCAGTCAAACCGCCACGTCGGGTAGATGAGAGTTACAGTCGGGAACGGTCCACTTGCCATTTTGGGGCCCTGACTGCTGTCAAGTTGCTTTTGGGTGGGAGGCCAACCCGGGGTCCCGGTATGAGTTTCCTTTGGTAGCGATGTTTCCTCGGGAAAAAATGGGTGTGCCTTGTGTTGAGGGAAGCCTTTCGGGTTGGGGGAAACTACAAGAAACCAAACAATTCGGAGGCTCCCCTGAGACAAACTGAAAAGAAGTCTTTCGCCAAGGCTTGCTATTTGCCGATGGACTGTTATGGGCAATGCATCGGCGTTCTGCGCCTTTCCGCGAAAGACACTCTGAGCCTTGATGAATCCGGCCGAGAGGCTTGGACTGCAAGGGGGTGCACTGTGGAAAGACACGGGGACTTGTATTGGGGTATTTTCCAAACAACAGGAAGCCAATCATTTGGAGGGGTCCAACTCTGGACACATAAAGGACCCCTTTACTTGGGGTTGACAGGGATGGTCATCCACCTGGCAATAGGGATTCCTCCATCTGGAAAAAAGAGTAGTGAGCGCCAGCTGCAAGGGATCCCGCTGAATGCCCTGAGCTTTTACGGTGTGTTTGGGGGAACCACCCTGAGGCCTTTTGTTTTGGGTCTAAAGTGACAGGCCAAAATCATACCCCGGTGTGGGCGAAAGGGGAACCCTTTGAGTCCGAGGACATGTTCCAGCCCTTGGTCTCCATCGCCGTCTTGCGGCTGATGCGAGCGGAGCTCCATCAGTCCTTCAGACGGCAATCGACGGAGCTGACCCGGACGAGCCGCTCCGCTGAAGGAATTTAGGCTGCCCGATTTTTGGGTTGTTTGCACGGACGGGATACTCATCTTGGGTATGACACGCAGAATCGCGCCGCGTTTCTGTTGGCTGTGGTCCTTCACAGCAGGGGTACCGTTTGGCTGTAAGTCTTTCTTTGGAGTTGGTAGCGTTTGTTCCTTTGGCTGGTTTGGAGGGATATCCATGTGACAAACTTGCATCAAGTTTTGTTTGGAGAGGATGAGTCGCGGCAGGCTCATGTTGTCCTTTTAAGGAGCTTTTACTGGTGCCTGGCGACTGTCTAACAAGCCAATGAGAAGCTTGCTGGGGAGGTGTGCTGAGCCTGACCTCGTTGGTGCATTTCAAAAATATATCCCCAAGATATGTTCTTTGTAAAAAGCATAGCAAAGGTATTTTTCAGGAGTTTGCCTGAACGATGTCATAGCAAGATTGCAGAGAATAAGACGGGAGAGAATTGCAGATTGAAAGGCTAATCTCTCTCTCATTTAGAGAGATGTCTTTGGTGATTTTGCGTTGCGCGGTTTGCCTTTTTCTCAGGGGAGACAACCTTGCATGGGCCATGTCTGAAACAGTCGAGAACCACATAGTGAACCCCCAAAAGCGACAACTTACTGCCCGAAAACGCCCATAGGTTTTGCCGCTCGCTCAGATAGACTGCGCTGCGAGATTATTAGCGAGTGGCAAAGGAGAGATACAAAGGGGTGCTCAGAGAGATTGGGCAGGATAAATACGCAGCGACATTG